TTTTTTTACTTTGATATAGAATTTCTCCAGCAATATTTGTTTTTAAGTTGAAGAACCCCTCCCTTACCCCATTGAACCACATTGGTGCTTTTTTCAAAATCAAGTAATCACATATAGTGGTTTATTTCTGGACTTTTTAGTTTTGTTTATGTATTTGTCTGTCTTAATCTCATTGGCTTAATAAATGTAGTTTATTCTAAGTCTTAAAATATGATAAGTCCTCTATCTTCTTCTTTTTCAAAAATTGTCTTGGCTGTCTTCTTCAGCATTTTTCTATAAATTACAGAATAAAATTTTCCAGTACTAGAATAAAAAATTTGGAATGATATGGCTAAGAATCCACAGATAAATTTCGGGAGAAATGGCATCTTAATATTCAGACTTTCAATTTATAAGACTAGTATATATCTCCATTTATTTAGATTTCAACAATTTTCAATGTACAGGTCTTACACATTGTTTTTTAAAAATTATTAAGTATTTTATGGTTAGATTTTTATAAAATAATGTACATTTGAAAGTATATCTAATTGAAGTTTCTTGACTGTGGTCTTATTTGATTAAAGCTAAGTTAATATGGCCTTCCAACATGAAGAGGTTCCCTACCCTGGTCTACACAGAAACTTATAATGAATTTCACAGCATTTTTCATAATAGCTCAACAGTGAAAACAACTCAATGTCTATCAACTGATGAATAAATAAATAACATGTGGTATTTCCATATAATGGGATATAATTCAGTCATAAAAAGAAATGTAGTACTGATCCATGGTACAACAAGGATGAGTCCTGAAAAGGCCACATATTGTACGATTCCATTTACATGAAATGTCCAGAATAGATAAGCCCATAAAGACAGAAAGGTGATTAGCGGTCACCAGGGCCTTGTGAGGGGGAAAAATGGGGAGTGGTTATTAATGGGTACAAGGTTTTTTGGGTGATGAAAATGGTTCTCAAATTAGATTGTAGGGGAGGTTCCAAAACTTCATGAATATATCACTTGACTATACGCTTTAAATGGGTGACTTTTATGTTAGGTGAATTACATATAAACAAAAAGATCTAAAAAGAGCTGTTAAGATGATCCTTTAAAAACCCAAGTTTTGTCTTTAAAGGTTTGATTTGGATAGGAAGATGAGACGAGTTCTACGTATATTTATGTTTAGTTAAAAACTACTCACCTGCTGTTTTGTGCTCTTGTTGGGTTTTACGGAATAGTGGATGTCCTTCATGGCTCTCTCAATAAGGATAACAGTGTATGGTCTCTTTGTTTCAGGGTTCACACATTTGTCTGCTACAATAGTTGCAATGTCCCTAAACATCTGCTCCAGTTGTGTGTGCCTTTCTTTATCTGATACTTGAACTTCTCCTTTAGTCAAAATCTAAAAAAAACCCAACACATTGAAGAAAGCAATACTTTTCTCTATTATACACTATTTGTTAACTAATTATAAGAATTAATAATCAGGGAGAAAATTGAATTTCTTCCTCTCCAGCTACTGATATGGAGGTAATGATTTGAACTTTGCCTAAAGGATGACTGAATTTATGTAGTGCTCCAAAATCTCTCTTATTGAGGGCTGGGTGAGAGAAGGAGGAAAGGCAATCTTAAGGCCCAGCACGGTGGCTCATGTCTATAATCTTATCACTCTGGGAGGCTGTGGCAGGAGGATCACTTGAGGTCAGGAGTTCTAGACCAGCCTGAGCAAGAGTGAGACTTGTCTCTACTAAAAATAGAAAAAATTAGCCAGCCATGGTGGTGCGTGCCTGTAGTCCCAGCTACACCAGGGGCTGAGGCAGGAGTATTGCTTGAAACCTGGAGTCTGAGGTTGTTGTGAGCTAGGCAGATTGACAGGGCACTCTAGCCCCAGTGACAGAGCAAGACTCTGTCTCAGGAAAAAAAAAAAAAAGAGCAATCATAAAAGGCTTAAAAGGGTCTAAAGGATGAAATACTTGAAATCAGATTTTCAGGTATACCATGTTATATAACTGGGCAAAATTAGGTAATTTAGCAGAAAATTTTATTTCTGGAGGCTTTGATAGAAAACATCTGGCAGAACCCACCTGTTTACAGATTTCAGTTTGGTCATCTGTTCCAAATGCACTGATGAGATCTTCCTTCTTTGCAACCTGACCTTTAGAAACATTTACAAACACTGAGTGGGTCTGTAGAACTTCATCAAGGTCTTTTTCCCTTGTGGGGGCAGGAGAGAAAGTCCTATGTGAATATGCTTGCAACTTGGACATTCATTGTCATTTAAATACAAGATGGCAACAACATAAATAGCAAGAAACAACAAATACTCATAAATAACTCTTAGTGTCCAGGGAACATTTTCAAAACTCAGAACCGCACTTGTATGCCCATTTACTCATCGGAGAAAAATGTCACAGGAGTACATATGAAACACGAGGGTGGGGTGGGGCGAGGCAGGTTGCCGCCACGGAATACCGGTCCCTAGATGGCAGCAGTGAAGACACTACGCAGTTTGGTGACACTAGGGGACTACTGAGATCTGTGACATCAGATGTATTATAACTATGACAGTATCTGGAAGACTAGGTTCCTAGTCTTTATCATTATTCTGGGAAAACGACCAGCATTACGGGGTTTCTTGGTTGTAGCTCATATAGTACCTACTAAACAAGACCCAAAGCCAACAACCGAATCCGAATCAACGAAACAAAAAACAAACCCTTGGCTTAAGCGCTGAGCTAGGGAAAGGCAGCGACTTCTCACGTTCACAGCAGGAATTACGTTTTTCATTTTCTACCCTGACAAGATCCCGCTTGGCCTATTCACTCGACTTGGCTAGAGGTAGGCCGCCTCGGAGGCTACTGGCGCCGGCCAGGGCCCGAGGGAGAGAGTTACTCACACGCCGCTCCGCCAGCCGACGACCTTGTTTTTGTAGCAGGCGATTTCGAAGCGCTTTCCGGCGCGCTTCATTCGTACCACGGCTACATTGGTTAGGCGGATCTGGTTTGTGGGGGTGAAGATCGACATCCCGGCTGCTCACGGACTTCGTGTCTGGAGAACCAGGGCAGGACCCGCGCCGCCCGGCCTGATGGCCACGAGCGCCTCGCTGTAACAGCCGAGCGGCGCGCGGCGCAGTAACAGCCGCAGAGCGCGTGGCGCCACGCCGGACTCTGCCCCGCGCCCGCGACAACGCACGCGGCCTGCTTACTGTGCAGGCGTCAGACAGCGAGACAGTAGGACAAGGAAAAGTGACCAACGACGCCGGCGCATTAGGGCTTTTTATGGCATCTTTCCACGCCCGAAAAGGGCGGCACTCTTCCTGGATGTGGTTTATTCTAGCCAATGAGCTAACGAGCCCGCACAGGCTGCTGGCTGATGTTTATCCACCGGGTTGAAACATAGCGCTCACGCTGCACAGTTCCGCGGACTTAAAGGGCAAGACCCGGTTAAATCTTTTATTATGGAACATTTTTAACATAAAAAAGTAGTGAAAAGTGTAATGAACCCCCATGTGCCCATAACCCCGCTTCAACAATTATCAACATTTTGCCATTCTTGTTTTATTCCTCTTCATTTTTTTGAGTATTTTAAAGCCAAACATATGGTTTCAGCCTTAAATACTTCAGTCCATACCCTTGAACACATACACCCAACGAGACTAATCATGGTTCCTTAAATATCATCTAATAGCTAGTCCATACTCGAATTTCCCCTAAATAATGCCTTTTACAGTCGGTTTGTTCCAATTGAGATCCAAATGGGCCCAGATTGCACTTGGTTGATGCCGCTCTTAGTCTCTTTTGCTACCCCTCCTTCTTTTCCCCTCCTTTTTTTTCCCAAGCCTCTCATTTCTTCACGGCGCTTCTCTCTGGACCCGCCCCCTCCCATCTGAGCCAATCCAAGAGGAGCCGCAAGCTCTTCGGCTTTGTCCCTGGAGCTCTGGGCGGTGCTTCCCTCTGGGCACGCCCCCTCCCTTTCTGAGCCAATGCGAGCAGGGCAAGGAGCACTCTGGCTTCCTCTCCCAGAGCTCTGGGCATCCTTCTGGGCCCACCCCTTCGCCCTCTGAGCCAATCCAGACTGTCCTGTGAGTGGCATGGCTGCCCTCTGCCTCGCGAGCTCGGAACATACAGCTAATGCTGCGAGTTAGCTCGGGTAGTCTCTGGGTACCCGTGAAGGTTACCAGGATTTCCAAGTCCGAGGTTCTAGTCTCCTGTCGGCCCGCAGGCCTCAAACTCTGAGGAGGCTGGGTAAGGACCCCCAGCAGGCTAGTATCGTGGGACGCGAGGGGAGGAAACAGTTTTAACGAGACCCTCTCTGGGCGGTGTAACGTCCTCGGGTCAGTTCGTTCAGAGATTGTTGCGCTTGTCAGCATGGGACAGTCTCCGCTGGGAGAAAAGAGGACCGATTTTTGCTGTTGACCTGGCTTTTGAGGCGAGGGGGTGAGTTTAGAAGGAAACTACGCTTCCAAACCCAAATAAAAGGCAGAGAAAACTGCCTCTGCCACCTTACCTACGTGTGTATTGGGACTTCTGGTCCTTTCCGGGTGGAGCAGCACGTGTAAACCCTAAATTGCAGGCTTCGCCTTTTGAAATTGCTCTGAGGTACAACATTTGACTCCAGATCCATGCATATTAACCTTCAAAAAAATGGGGCATGAAGTCAGTTATTTGAGAGCCCTTTACAAGTAGATGTGAGTCTTTATAAGTATGATTAGAAAAAAAGGGAGTACTTTTGTTACTATTTTAAGTTTTCTCATTGTAGCAAGCATAACAAAGCAAAATGAACTCATAATTCCACATGGAGTGTTTTCACTTCATGTGTCTCTTACTTGCTTTCAAATATATATATATCCAAATGAAGGTACAGTGTTATATATATATTTAATTAGCATCATCGTTATAATTTTATCATGTTATCATATAGTGTATTATTTTTATTAGAGTTGATTTTTTAATAGATTTCTTACCCGGGTTGTTGAATGTAAGATTGGTTTAATTTTTTTATTCTCAAAACAGGGATGGACATCTTTGTATATGCAGCTTTAAACAAAATTACATGTATGTATCATTTTAAATTTAGATCCTTCCTTGGATATGTGGGACCTCTCCTCACCTTTGATATCGTTATGGATAAACAGGTTTTACATTTATTTGGGCTTTGCCTTTGGCATCAGCCTTTGGATTTGTGTCCAGATTGTCATCAAGAAGCAGGTAAGTGGAGTTTTTTTTTTTTTTTAAATGAAAGAGTATTTAAGCATCAGATTTTATAGAGAATTTAGAGTACAGGTTTTCTAAGGCTTTCAGAAAAATAGAAAAACTAAAAGGAACTTTAAATCACTTTTCTATTTGGTCTCCAGACATTTAAAAAAATGTCTAAAATAAATTTCTTCTTTAAGTTTTTAGAGACTAAGTTATTATGGAGTAAATTATTTACTTTTTGTTTTTTTTTTGATAGCTATGCATATCTTATTCTTAAGATACAGGAAGATTTTTGTAACACAAAGTGAAACTTTTTTTTTTTTTTTTTTAGAGACAGGGTCTCTGTCGCCTGGGCTGGAGTGCAGTGGTGTGATCATAGCTCACTGCAGCCTTGAACATCTGGCTCAAACGATCTTCCCGCCTCAGCCTCCTGAGTAGCTAGGACTACAGATGTGCACTACCACACTCAGCTAATTTTTAAAAATTTTTTTGTAGAGATGGGGTTTTGCTATGTTGCCCAGGCTAGTCTCCAACTCCTGGCTTCAAGTGATCCTCCCTCCTTTTCTTCCCAAAGCACTGGGATTACAGGCATAAGCCACCATGCCCAGCAAAAAATGAACCTTTTATATGAAACACAAATCTGTTTTGCACCTTTAAGGGATAGTAGTCCTCTCTTTACTTTCCATTAATTAAGGATCAGAAAGTGAGTTCTTACTTTTTAAGACCATTCCCTCCAGGGTAAACTTTATGCAATCATTTTGTCTTCAAGGACAGGAACTCACAGGAGAAATCTGTTCCAAAAACAACTCAGGATTTGATGACAAATGGTTATATCTCCCTTGAAAAGGAGAAAATCTTTGTGTCTGGAGTGAAGATTTTCTATGGTTCCCAAACTGGTACTGCAAAGGTAAGAACTTTATATGATGCTTTTCCTTTGGTTTCCTGACAATTTAAGAAAATCCTTGAGAAGCATCCTTAAGCAGTGAACTGAATTGTTCTTCTAATCTCTTTAAATCTTTTCCCCCTCCTTTTTCCATCATACATTTTTCCTTTCTGGGATGGTAGGTGGGTTTCCTCTCCTGTGCCCCATTGCAGCTGATTGGTGGTGTCTGGTGGTGACTGTCAGAGGGGTCTTTGTTCTGAAGCTTGCTTTTGCCTCAGCAGGATGGAGAGAGTTCTGGGTCCATCCTTAATGCCTGTGGGTGTAGGAGTAGGGGATAATGAAAAGAGAATGGCAGCAATAGTGTCCAGTATGGGCCCTGATTTTCACAACTTCACACATTTATTTAATGAAGCTTGTTTTGATTTCTAATAGTGTTAAAAGTGTTAAAGTAGGTCTACATAGCAGAAATCTTG